TTCTGAATATTTGGACTTTCTTTTTCGCTAACCTTTTTAGGAAAAATAAAGGTGGGTTTCCAATATGCATCTTAGCTCCTACCCCATTATTTTAGTGCCTTTTTTGGTAATGATTATTTGGATGAATTGGTGATTGAATCTGCTGAATTTGACACAATGAGTGTTTGGTAACAATCATTTCAGCCAAATAACCTACCAGACAAACCCTAGCAATTCTTGAGAATTATAGATCCTCTTTTATTTAGGCATTATAAATCCTAAGGTTGATCACATCATTGTGATTTTTCCTGACTTCTGATCAATCAAAACACAACCTTCTTTATGTGCTAAAGCAAGAATCGTTGGTCATAATATATTGATATGCACAACTGTCTTTGAAAAAAACTAAACTCTTGAGACTAAAAAAAAGAACTCAGGTGTAGTTTGGTACGGTGGACCAAAACAACAGGAGATAGCAAAACTCATCAATGCTATATTTTTCACATCTATTCATGATATATTTCTCTTTTAGAATCTTCGATGCTACTTTGTTATTTTTAAATTTACAGGTATTTGCACAAATTGTGTACTCAAAAGCACACCACACATCGGTATGGATTTTTTTTATCCTCATACGATTCAAGATGTGGGAAACAAGCGTGATGACATCCAAAGTTACATATTGACCCACCTCGGTGAAAATAAGGAATGTTATTTAATGCCATACTACTACATGTAAGTACAAGTATAATTGATAATTACGATTTATTAAAATATAACCTTCCTCCAGGTTATCCTTAGTTTAACTTAAAAATTCACTCTTTTCGTTTCAGTAATCATTGACAGTTGTTCGTGTTGTGCCCGAAGCAGAACACAATTGTCTTTTTATGCTCATTGGGGAATAAGCCAAAGAAGAATATAAGAAGTCTTTTGGAGTTGTGAGATAGAACTTTAGAAAATTGATTATTTTCATTGAAACTCGGAATTCTATAATTTGACTAACTTTTAATTTATACTTATACTTTATTAGGGCGATGCAAGCACATCAGATGACAAAAAAAAGGAATTCCAAAGCGAAATAGATTCAACCAATGGTAATAATAACCATTTATATTTATTTGTATGTGTTATAAAAATTTATATCCTATGTGTTTTTGTGATGTGAAATATTATAATCACTGAATTTGCTAGTATTGTCTTTCTGGAAAGGTGAATTTTGGTTGTAAGGGAATGATCAGATTTGGTATTGCACTTGTAATTGACTTCTGTGTAATAAAATTTTACCCTTGTTTATTTGTAGTCTCGGTTGCAAAAAGGTGGTTATGAGTGTGGCTACTATGTTATGAGACATATGGCTACTGTTGTTTCTGCTGGTATTGTTGATTCTTGGATGAAGGTTAAGTTTTAGCTTATTTGTTCTCATATACTTGTGATTTTATTGTTATTGTACATGTTATTTCTTTTACTTCATGATTTTTGTATTTATTCATTTAGTTTCATTATTTAATTTGTAGGCATTCAACGTTCAAGAGTCATTCACTGATCAAGAAATCAACGAGACACGAGAGCGTTGGACGTCATTTTTCTGCGAAGCTACGGATATTTGATAAAATTTTTAGACTCTTAGATAGTTTTTGACGAGTCTTGTGAACTCATAGTTTTTTATGAATGTTGTGAACTCATACTTAGTTTTTGTTGAATATTTTTGGATCAAAACAATGTGAATGTGGAATCTTATTAGTTATGAGCAATGATATGTGTTTACTTTGTTGCAATGTTCCTATGATGATATGTGTAAATTTCTGATATTTAGAAATAGCTGGGTATGAATTAAATGTTAGCAAGACATTTCATATGGGTTGATTAATCCTATATTGAAAATCTTTAATAACGGTTAATGTATAACCGTTATTGAATGTTTCAATAACGGTTCGGTAATAACCCTTATTAAATGTCCCAGACCTTTAACATGTGCGCCTATACCCGTTATCAAAAGCCTAATCGAACCGTTATTAAAAAACTTTTCATAACGGTTCTAGAACCCATATTAAAAGTACCGGACTTTTAATAGGTGCTGCAACAATAACGGTTCTGAACCGTTATTAAAAGTCCATTATAACCGTTATTAAATCCATATTTTCCACTAGTGATTAGTATAGCCTTTATTACTCTTTGATGTATTAATTGTTGTATTTATTAGAGTAGTAAAGGATATGGGGCCCAAATGTCTGGCCCATATACTTGGCGTAAAGCCTGTACGCAAACCTACCTATGCATATAAAAAGGCGCTTAAGGGTTATGTTTGCGTTAACTTTTGCATTCGATCTTTACAACCTCATAGCTTATCATTCTTACTGTAGAAGTTCCTGGTATATCAAAGACGAGTTTAAGGATCTCCAGAGCATTTATCTTTCTGTTATTCTCATCTTTGTGTATCGATATATTGTTGCAATCAATAAACAGGGACAAACAGAAGGTATTGGCCCTATGGATAAGGCCTTTATATTTTTTCCCTGTGACTTAGGCTGTCCTACCTGCAACTGAGCCCAAAACCCTTTGCTTCTTTGTTGCTTGCATTCGTCCCTTTGTTCGGCCAATTCCCTCTCTTTACCCTACTTACCTTGTTGGGCTTATCTTGACCTGGCTACTTATATCCTTCGGATGGTCTTTGCCTATTTGAGCCGCCTTAGTCATACCCTAGTTCTAGAGACAACCTTTAAAGAGAGAGTCCAACTTCTCTTTAGATGGTCCTCTTCTTCCGTCCCTCTCTCACTTCGACAGTGTGTGTGTGTGTGCGCGCTTATGGATTCTAGGGAGAGGTTAGAGAAGGTAGTTGGATTGGGTTTGGGTTTGATGTGCCTTTGTGGTGATTCCCTTGTCCCCGGTGGTTCTGTGTGGTGGTTGTGAGTCTTGTGAACCCTTTGTGTTTGTGTGGCTGGAGATCGGGGCTGGAAGATCTGTCAGCCTAACACTATGTATATAATATTTCCCCCGTCGTTGAATTATCTTTGAAGTCCCAAAATAAGTTATATCAAAGTAACTTTTGTGACTATTTAATTGATTTTTCTAAAAAGGGATGTTTTAACTATTTTCATATAACGTTTTCTTTATGTTATTAATAAAATACTTCCTCCGTCCCTTAACACTTTGCCAATTTTTCTTTTTTGGATGTCTCATTAACTTTGTCACTTTCCCTTTTAGGTAAAGAGTTTGTGGTTCCAATCAATTCTCTCTCTTCTGCACAAACCTCAACCAAACAGATTTTGCTTTGTTAATCCTCATGCCAGTCAAACTTGGCAATGTTTTAAGGGACATAGAGACTATATATTATTATGTTTTTATAATAATTGAGGAGTTTGAATCACTTTAGCCAATATTTCATCAATTTCATTATTATTAGATATGCTCTTATTTATCTTCAGTTTATTAATAAAATATATTTTAAGTAATTTGATTCATAATACATACTATTTGTGGCGTAGCTATTTTCTGTAATTTGATTAACAATAATTCAGCAGTATATATTAATCATGGAGCTCATAAATGAGACCTAAATAACATGTTAACAGTAATGGCGTAGCTAATGCGCAATTATTTGTGGGAATGGAAAAGTTAAACACGGATACAAGCAAGAACTTGAGGGGTGGGAAAAATTCAGGGACAAAAATTCGGGCAGAATTTTGGCACATTATCATCGACCCACTTCAGGATTTTGCATGGCCCCGCCGCCAAAGAATAGCCACGTTTCTCGACTCCCTCGAAACAACCTTCGCAGTTATGACAACAACACTTGGCACCCGCAGACCTACATTATCCAACCAAATTTCAAAAAATAACTAAAACAATAAGAATCGAGTTAATGTAGTACTACTACTCCCGTTTAATTAATACAATAATAATGTCCAACTTTTTTAATAATCCCACAGAAAATTAATCCTTCTTTTTTATAAACACGATACAATATAGGAGGAGCCTATGGTGGCATAATCCGGCCCAGATCGATAACCGGATCAAACCTCAGACCTAGTGGCGGAACCAGGACTCGTGACTCGCAGAGGCACAATAACAAAGAAATGATATACTACTATAGAAAAAAATCATATGCATCACGAGTATAGCAATAAACAAAACTATAAAATTTAAATAAAACCACTGTTTTTGGAATGATCTGTTGCATCCATTAAAATCACTTTGTGGAAATTTAAAGTCACGCGGTTGGTAAGGACCTTTTCTCAAATAAAGCCTCCTCAACTCATCTCTAATATTAACATCATAAGTCTCAATCGGCATAACTTTTCTGTCCAGCACTTTTCTGCCCGAACGCTGTCCGAACACCGGCGTTTGGGGTGGTTCCCGGCGGAATATTTTGATGAAAATTTGTGAGCATGTTCCTCATCAAGTCTAGTTTATCCATACCAAACTTCAGCTCAAAATTCGATCGGGAAGGTAGTCAAATAATTCGTTGAAGTTAACTGCGCCAAATTATACAAAGAAAAACACAGTTAACTTCAACGAATTATTTGACTGACTTCCCGGTCGAATTTTGACCTGAACTTTGGTATGAATAAACTAGACTTGGGGAGGAACATGGTCAAAAAAGTTCATCAAAAAATTCCACCTGAAACCGCCCCAAAAGGCGGTGTTCGGACGGCGTTCAGACCGGGGGTGCTGGACTTGAGAATTTTCCAATATATATATATAGAAATGATCTTATCCAATACTCCCCTGCGTGAACACTGCCGTTTGGGGCCGTTCTCAGCATAATTTTTTGATGAATTTTTTGAACATGTTCTTCATCATGTCTAGTTTATCCACAAAAATTTTAAGCTCAAAATTCGATCGAGAAGATAGTCAATCATTAGGTACGTACCCGATGCAACCTACAACGAGGCCTATTGGCGTGAAGGGGAGAGAGAGAAAACAGGGGGGAACGCCAAAGATGCAGACTTCGCAGTCGCATTCAAAATCTTCACTGGAGTTACAGCCACCCATGGTGCTGCTGCTTTCCTTGTCTTATGGACCGGAGGAGAAGGAGTAATTAATATTACTATTACTATGCTAGTAATAATTAAAACATATTGGCCCCATCCCATCCTTTATATATATACCAAGTGCATATATAAGCCAACGAAGTCTTCAAAGATCATCGACCAGCCTGTAAGTTTTTTTAATTTAGTCGAAAAGGTTAAAGCAATTCACCATCATTTTGGGAGTTGAAAATGTTGTAAATTTTTACTTTGATTTGAGCAGGATGTGTTAAATCTCACACCGGAAATCAGGGCCGGTGATGGGGCATCTAGCCTAGACAATTGTCTAGGGTACCCAACTTTTAGGGGCCTCCAATTTTAAAAGAAATATTATTATTATGTATTTATATTTAATTTAAATCCTAGTTAAATTTGATTTCTCAAATGAAATCAATGCCAAATGTCAGAAATAAAAATTTAAGGTTAGAATTTTGTTAAATTTAGGCTAAAAAGTTATTGGGTGTGGTTATTATTATTAATTTATTTGGGTTTTCCATTTCTGCTTCATTGGAATACTGATACTTCATCATGTGAATGCATATAATTATTGAACTACCTATGAAAGCAATCTTTTATACGTATTCTGAATTATACCTATATAGTTATTTTTTAGAACAATTCAAAATTATGTATGATCAATCAGGCCAGATGATAGACTAAGTGAGTAAGTTATGTCACCTATTGAAGAAAATGTTTTGATAGATTTGTTTGTATTTAAAGTAATTATCCAAAATAGGACTAAAATTAAACTTAAATTCTTAAATAGGACTACATGTTTTTTATTCCCTAAATAGAACTTCACATTACCATTATGCCATCTTACATAATATCAAAACCCTAAAATTATTACGCTCATTTTCGATCTTTCATCTATGCGCATCACCTCTCTCATTTCCACATCTCTGCAGCAGTGCTTCAGCTCTCTTCTTTCCGGCCGCTGTTGGTTCTATGTCACCACACCACCTCTCTGCACCACGCCGCTAGTTCTTCATCGCTACCGTCGTTGCTCCCCTTCGATCATCCAGATTTTCTTCTTCTTCTCCTCCTCTTCCGATTCTTCTTCTGGGTTTCTTCCCCTTCTCCTCCTCCTCTTCCGATCCTTCTTCTTCATCCCCCTCCTTCTCTGTTTTTCATTTAAAAATCAAGCAAATCACTTATTTTGTTCTTTTTTGAAGATTTTTTTGATTTGATTCAATTTTCTGATTTTCACATCATTTTTTCTGTTTTTTGGACATTGATTTCGTAGATCTGATTTTCAATTTCATTAAATTTGTGATTTCAATAAAAACTCTGTTTTCTTTCGATTTTGGACACTGAGTTTGTTTTTATCACATTTCTGGCAGTTTCATGTAATTTATTATGGCAGAAAAAACACATTTCATTTTTTCTTCTTCTTCCATGTTTTTTCTTCTGTAGATTTCTTTTATGTCCTCCATTTTTATGAGTTTTGAAATCGATTTTATTTCGTTAAAAATCATAATGTCTAGTGTTTTATTTTTCCTTCAATTTTTTATCTTGTTGATAATTTTGTTTTTACAATTTTTTGTATGTCAGGTTCATATTTTGCCAACTTTTTGGAAGAAAAACTGTTACTTTGAGATCAATTACAACATACTTCCACTTTTATGGCAAATCTAATATTAATATTATGGCAGAAAGATTCTTAATTTGTTCCACTTTTATGGCAAATCTGATATATAACATGATTTTTTAGGTAACAAGATGGCAGATTTGCATCTACAAAACTGACACAGCTGTTTGGAGTGGTGGCATCGGAAAGAACGGCGGCAAAATTGTAAAGGCCAGTAGCGGTGGCACCGGAAAGGGAGGCGGCGGTTGGGTGGTGGTGGATTTTTTCCGGTGGCGGCAGTTGGGTGGTTTTTTTCCCATCAAAAGCCGACAGATTTGCTTGGGTTGTTTTTTATTATTTTTCAATTGTAAATAGAATTAGAAATTCATTAAGGGCAATTTTGTCAACTAATAACATTTTTAGTCCTAGGAAACATGGAAGTCCTATTTGTGCAATTAACTTTGCTATTAGTCCTATTTGAGTCATTAACTCTTGTATTTATGTTCTTGTCAATATTGCACTTTAGAATGTAAGAAAAAATAAAGTATTGAAAAGTATATGTTTAGTACTTTTGCATATGTTAATAATAAGAAATTTAATCTTGTAAGGTTCACAATATACGGTGCACTTCAATTGTGCTTCGTTTAACATATTGTATGTTTTTACTCAACTTATCTGATATTCCGTTTATAGAAAGAGATTTCTTCGAAAACTACTAAAATAAAACTTATTTATAAAAATGACTAAAAATTACTATAGTATATTGTCATCGACATTAAATGAAATAATATAACATACATTACAATGAATAAAGATACTATTATAATCGCTCTTAAGTGATCACATTTTTGTAAACAATCTTTAAAGTAGTCATAAAATTGCAATTATTTCATTTAAAAATCATATGAATATAATATGTAAATACTAAGTACTCCGTAGGATTTTGTAAAGTAGTCATAAGATTGCAATTATTTCATTTAAAAATCATATGAATATAATAGGTAAGCATTAAGTACTCTGTATGTGATGAGTTGCAGGCTTTTGTCTAGGGCCTCCATAATCCTAAAGACGGCCCTGTCGGAAATGTTTGAGTCAACGAAGTGCTATATTAAGACATGGGCTACTTCTCCTATCAGGTTGACCTTTTAGGCTGGAACCTCATGTCTTAACATGGTATCAGAGCCAAATCGATCCATGGTGTGGGCCCCTTATGAAAAATGATTGACACGATTATAAAAAAATGACAATGACGTATTGACGAAAAAAATGAATGACGACATGATCCAGACAAAGAGTCTAGTCGTGAGGAGGGGTGTTAAATCTCACACCAGAAATGTTTGAGTCAACGAAGTGCTATATTAAGACATGAGCTACTCCTCCTATCAGGTTGACCTTTTAGGATGGAACCTCATGTCTTAACAGGATGATTATTGAGAGATACAAGTTTTTGTGATCCATGCAGTGACGCACACAAAAGAGTTTATTTAAAAAATAATACGGAGTATTGAATAAAAAAGTATTTACGAAATTGATGGAGAGGTAAAATTATTTACCAAAAATGGTGCTACATATATAAACTTTCCTTAGATAGACGCTGCGGGCGACAAGCGCATCCCACAAAAAGAGGGGAGGCACACCCGAGACGTAGCAAAATAAAAAATCTACATTTTTTAAAAAGTGCTCTAACTTTTTCATTTATATTTCAATTGTTATGCAAAATATATGCAAATGCATAACTTTTCATTATCTTTCACATGAGAGTCTGTATACCGTACGACCGATTGTACGGTGAACACCGTGCGCCGGTGTTATTTTCATAATTTAAGTGAAATTCGTGACTCACGTTAAATGAGCATTAATGCATATTTAATGAACATCGGACTAATTATGTTGAGTATTAAGATTTAAGAGGCTAGAAGGTTGATTGGAAAAAGAAAAATAAACAAACTCGAACATTAAATAATCTATTATATGATACATTTTCATAATAATTGAATAAAAATTAAAGTAAAATATTGTTAAAGAAAAAAAGAAAAAAGAAGGAGAAAACAAATAAAACCAACGAAAAAGAAAAGAAAAAACACAAAAGGAAAAAGTAAAACCAACGAGTAGAAAACTGGAAAAGCAACAAAACAAAGAAAAGAAAACAGAAAAACTAATGGAGAGAATCGTGTAAAGAAAATACTAGGTAGGTATAGGGATGGACTCGAGTCCGGGCCGGGTCCGGGTCGGGCCGGCGGTTCAGAAGTGGTGGACCCGGGACCGGCCCGGGTAACCACCGGGTCCGGGCCGGGCCGGGCCCATTATCATTTTTTTTCCTCTTCCTAATTAACCCCCCTCCCACCCCCAACCGCCCAAACCACCCCAAATGGCCCAAAATACCCAGCCCAACCCGAAAATTTAAAAAATAATTGGAAAAAAAGTTTTGGCCCGAACCAGGCCCGGCCGGGTCGGGCCTTGTTTTGGGTGACCCGAGCCCGGACCGGAAAACCCACGGGTCGGGCCTACCCGGACCGGTCACTGACCGGGCCACCGGGTCGGGTCGGGTCGGAACAGTGCCGGTCCCGGGCCGGTTCCGGGTCGGGCCACCCGGCCCGAGTCCATCCATAGGTAGGTAGCACGAAAGAGCCGGGCGTCGTCGGAAAAAAGAAAAGCTAACAGAAAGAGCCATCTAACTACCCTAAAAACAAGAATTAATTACCGGAGTATAAAAATGCGGGTTGAACTATGTTCTTGGTATGGTCGATTGTACCATATAATTTGCCTTCATACGGTACCAATATTACATATATAAAAATTAGAAAAATATAATTTTAAAGTGCTATAATTTTTTATTTGTACTTTAATTTTTTTAAATTAAATATCAAAATTCATAACTTTTTATAATCTTTTTTAACACTAATATTTCATATGTAAAATAAAAAATAGTGTAGCACTTTAAAAAATCGGTTTCTTTAGAGTGTTATTTCTTTTTGTTGGGATATTGACCTAGAGGCCCAATACCCAGATCGGGAAGGCCCAAGGCATCCGGCCCAAGTAACAGGCCCATCACTCCATGATGAAAAGGTCCAGTAAGGAGACATACCGAACGGGGTTCGGCCCAAATAAAGGTTGGCCCAATAAGAAAACATACCGAACGAGGTTCGGGCTATATATCATACTTGGGCCAATTTGACAGCATCTTCAGTACGGACCAACATCCCGTTCGAACAACGGCCAACCAGCAAGTGGCCAGGTGCAGTTAATGCCACACTATGACATCAGCAAGTGGAAGCATGGATGACCAAGTCGGTGGAACAACGGCCAATCAGCAAGAGGCAGCCCATGCTCTCCATTAGTATAAATAGAAGGTTTCAAGTCATTGTAAGGGTTAGATTTTCGATACTCAAGCTCTAGAATAACATCATTTGCTCTTATTTCTTGTATTAAAGCATAGTTTCCGACTTACTGATCGGGAAATCTTTTGTAATCAGATTGGTTAATTAATACAAGTGGGTTTTCGAGTTCTAGTTAATTCAGATTTTATATTTTCTCACACACTTTGATTCTGGGCCATTCCTGATATATCCAAAGTTCGTGTTGGGCTTTCGGATCTACGGGACTTACCCTCAACATTGGCGCCGTCTGTGGGAAACTTGCAAAAAGTTTCACTTTCTAAACATCCAAAAAACCTCTATTTTTAAAAATGGTCAGAATCAATTCCTATCATACAAACGACGGTTCACACCGTCACGGGAGGAGTCACACCCCGAGGAGTCAAAACCCCCAGGGACAATCCAGTCGAGGATCCTATCCTCGCGTTAATGGGGATTTTGTGATCCCAGAATCTCTGAGGAGAAATCCCCAGGCCATGCGTGACATGGCCCAATTCATGCAGCACATGGCAAACGAAGAAGAAGGAGGTTCCAGCTTTACAGGAGAAACTCCACGCGCGGAAACGACCACAGCGTCATCCCGCTCACATACCCATCGGGATAATCGACGTAGCGCCCCACCACCAGCGCATCCCAGTCCCAGTGACCGAACCCCGGTCGGGTCGCAAGCTAGAGGACCAACTCCCGTCGGTCATCATTTCCAACATGCCGAGCGGGAAGATACTAGGGCCCCTCAGCGGCATTGGGACCGGGACTGTGCGGATATGAGGGTTCCACCACCGCCCCCTCTGACAGCCCAGGAGGAAGAGATGGCCGAGATGAGGAGGCAAATGAATGAAATGCGGGACCAGATGAACAGGGTACCTGCACAACCTGCACCAGTCCAACTGGGGATTACTTCCCCGTTTACAAGGGAGCTCATGTACGCGGATATCCAAGGGGGTGCCAAGCCCCCGACCGGCCAAATATATGATGGGGTGGGAGATCCCCACGTACATCTGAGGAGTTACCAAGGCGGACTTATGCTGCTAGGAGCACCCGAGGCTGCCATTTGCCGTTTGTTTTTCAGCACGCTCAGGGGGCCTGCCCAGGAATGGTTCGGGACACTACAGCCCGGGTCAATCAATAGCTTTACCGAGTTATCAACGTTATTCTTTGCTCAATTTGCTTCCAGTGCCAATCCCAAACGGCACTTCAGCTATCTGACCAGCGTGAAGCAAAACGCCAAGGAGACCCTCAACCAATTCCTGAAAAGGTGGAGGGATGAAACTTTAACAGTGGGAAGCATGACGGATGATACCGCCATCACCCTGTTCACGAATGCTCTCCGAACGAGGGAGTTGTACAAAGAATTGAAGAAGAATCCGGGCACGGCGTACGCCGAAGTATTAGATAGGGCGCGCAAGCATGCCGCCCTAGAAGAAGAAATAATGATCAGGGATAAGGTCATTACGCCTGCTGCCCCGATCAGACTGGCTGATCGGCTGGGTCCTAGCCCAGCGGCCACTTTACCTCCCAAACAAGGGAGATTTACACCCCTGGTCCTATCAATAGCGGCCATCTATCAGAACGAGAGGGACAATATTCCCATCCCGACTGATTCTGGACAGTTCATGGGAACGGATGACAATGCTTTCTGTAAATATCACAACAGAAAGGGTCATGCCACCAATGCCTGCAGGTCCCTGCAAACAGCAATTGAGGATCTGATCCGAAGGGGCCATCTGGGCAAATATGTGAACAAAGATCCGAATGCAATGGGCACGTTAAAACCGGCCAGGAAACCTAACAGCTGGCGCCGGGATGCTCAACGTGACGCCCAGCCTCAGAATGATGTGTATGTTCCTCCCAGAGATGAGCCAGAGGGCTCGGGAGATCCCGGAAAGAAGCCTCGAATGGAGGTCAAGGTCATATTTGGGGGCGGAGAGACCGGAGATTCGAACGCCGAACGGAAAAGGTTCGAGCGGAGTCTTTATGTGGGGTCCGTCTCCGCTCCCCCCAGAAGAAAGGAAGGACAGACCCGATCACGTTCGGGCCAGCTGATCTACCCAACTCTCCAAGCTCCCACAGGGATGAACTGGTAGTAAGCATGTGTATTGACAATGCTTTAATCCGCCGAGTGCTGGTCGATACTGGGAGCAGTGTGAATG